CACAACGCACCAAGGGAAAGCGACGGTGCGGACTTCCTCGACGGCGATGCTGGCAAACTTTCCAGAGCGCTCAAAGGCCTTGCCCGTGGAGAAGCCGCTGATCATCTTGAACTGCACGGCGCCGCCAAGTGCAACGACGGGGAAGGCGGCAAGGATGACCAGGCCAACGCGCCAGCAGTAGATGCAGGCAACGGTGATGCAGCCGAGGATGGTGAAAAGAATCTGCACAAAGAGACCAAGACGGTCACCGAGCGTGCCGCGAACAGCAGAGGCGTCGGACGACAGGCGCGTGGTGAGGATGCCGCGGGAGTGGCGCGGGTCATCGTACCACCCGGCAGACTTGCTCACCATCACCCGGAACACCATGTCGCGCAGCCGCATCGTCAGCCGCTCGCCAGCAACAGAGAGGAAGTACAGCTTGCCAATGAGGACAACAGTGGCCAGCACAGCAATGCCAATGAAGCCAGAGGCATACTGGTTCACACGCGTCTTGTTGTTGTCCGTGTTGAGGACGGTGAGAATCTCGGCAAGGAGCACGGCGTACACGGGCCAGATGAGACCCTCAATGGCGCCGCAGATGCAGCCCATCACAATGTACTTGAGCTCGGGCTTGTTCAGCTCAAAGGCCCAGCCCACCATGCTGCGGTCAACCTTGGGCACCTCGTCGGCAGCCTTCTCCACAGACTCGTCCATGTCCGCCGTCAGCCGTACTTCCACAGCCTTGGTGTTCTGCATCGACGAGGACGCCGTGCTCACGCCAACGTTGCCCGAGTCTGCCAGCACCTTGGCGTTGAGCTTGCCTGCGACGTCAATTGACATGCGGCCGTGCGGGCTGTTCTCGCCGCCGTGGCCGTGCTGCGCCTGCACCATGCGGTAGAAGGCGCCCTGCTGGTCAAGCAGCTCCTGCGGCGAGCCAGCCTCCACCACACGCCCGTGGTCAATCACTACAATCTTGTCTGCAGAGAACACGGTGGACAGGCGGTGCGCAATCATGATGGTGGTGCGGCCGGTCGATGCCCGGTCAAGCGCCTCCTTCACAATCGCCTCGCTCTCGTTGTCCAGCGCGCTGGAGTGGGGGAGGTGGGAGAGGAAAGAGAGGGTGCGGGCGCGAATGAACAAGGTGAGTGGTTGTGGAAGGGGAAAGCACAAGCGCGTGTGGGCCCAATAAATACCCGTACAACAACAACAACAGCAACAGCAACACACACACTCATAAACACACACACGCGCGCACGCCACACACACCACACACACGCACACACACACGCACACACACACACACCTGGTTGCTTCGTCGAGGAGGAGGATGTTTGGGGCTTTGATGAGAGCGCGAGCAATGGCAATGCGTTGCCGCTATCAGGCACACCAGCAAATCAATAATGCACGCATGTGTGCGTGTGTACAGCAGCGTGAGGGGAGGCGGAGAAGGAAACAAACGGCGCGTACACACCACAATGTCCGGACCCACCACCACCACCGCCACCACGATGATGGGTCCTGACCTGTCCGCCGGAGAGCTGTGTGCCGGAGTCGCCGACCATGGTGTTGTATCCGTCAGGCAGCGCCATGATGAAGTCGTGCGCATTCGCCATCCTGGAGACACGTCGCCGCGCGACATGGCATGATGTGAGGGCGGCAGTGACAAGATTGGAGGAGGGGGCTGAATGGGAGCATACCGTACGCATGCATCACTAACAGTGATACACCACCTTCAACACACACACACACACACACACACACACACACACACACACACACACACACACACACACACGCACACACACAAACCGTCACACAAACCGTCACACATCCACTCGCGCGTCCTCCCTCCCTCCCCCTCCCCAACACAAGCAACAAAACAAACACACCCGCCCTGCCCTGCTCCCCTCACCTTGCGGCGCTGTGGACCTCGTGCTCTGTTGCATCGTCCTTGCCAAGCGCAATGTTGTCTGCGATGGTGGTGGGGAACAGCACCGGGGTCTGGCTCACCAGGCCAATCTGTGACCGCAGCCACTGGATGTTGAGCTTGCGGATGTCTGTTCCGTCGAGCTCAATGCTGCCTGCCGTCGGGTCGTAGAAGCGCTCCAGCATGGCGACGGTCGTGGACTTTCCACAACCGGACGCGCCGACCAGCGCCACCGTCTCCTGCGGCTTCACCTCGATGTTGAGCTTGTGCAGGATCTGCTCGTCAGGGCGAGTCGGGTAGGTGAAGTCCACGTCCTTGAAGCGGATGTGGCCCGTGAGCTTGGAGGGCACCGCGCCTTCCTCGGACAGCGAGTCAATCTCGGACGGGCGGTCAATGACGTCGAAGATGGCGCGCGCAGCACCGCGGCCAGCGGCCATCACCTTGATGTTGGGGGCGGCCTGGCCAAGGGACATGGCGCCGATGATGACGGAGAAGAAGACAATAATCACCTCACCGGCCGTCAGCTCGCCCTCGTCAACGAGATACGACCCAAACCAGAACGTCACAGAGTACGAGATGAAGATCATGAAGAACGTAAAGCCCATGCCTGTTCCATGAGTGTGTGTGTGTGTGTGTGCGTGTGCGTGTGTGTGTGTGCGTGTGTGTGTGAGTGCGAGAAGGAGAAACAAGTTGGAGTGTCGAAAGGTTTGAGAGCAGCCAGTGTTCATCACAGCACAGACAGCAGCACGTTGCCCTCCCCCCACTCTCCAGCATACGCACCGCAACCCTGGATGAGACCGCCGTGCTCGCCGGCCTTGCGTGCACCGTCGAGCTCCTTGTGGTAGCGCTCCACCTCGCGGTCCTGCGTGTCAAAGGCAATGACGGTGCGGATCATGCGAATCACTTCGTCTGCAACGCTGCCCGCCGTTGCGTAGAAGCCCTGCCCGCCCGAGGACGCCTGCTCAATGTACTTGCTCATCAGCGCACCACCTGATGTGTGTGTGTGTGTGTGTGTGTGTGTGTGTGTGTGTGTGTGTGTGTGTGTGTGAGTGCAGTGGTGCACGATTGCGGTCGCAGCGGCGCGTTCGTGTGCAGTTGCGGGGACAAGACAGAAACAATGATCGGCTGCTGTCAATAAGCAGCAGCAGGAACAGCATCATCATCATCATCATCATCATCATCATCATCATCATCATCATCATCATCATCAGCAGCAGCAGCAGCGGTCTTGTCGCACCAATGCCGATGAGAGGGGCCATGCCGATGATGACGAGCGTCATTTTCCAGCCGTAGATGAAGCCGACAATGAAGCCGGCTACAGTCCGTGTGGGTAGCAAACGTGTTGCGGTGGTGAGGTGTGAGGGCTGACAACGGCACACTAGAAACGGCACTGAGCACTTTACACATCCGACTGCAATGCATTTCCACACACACACACACACACACACACACACACACACACACACACACAGACACACCCACACGCACCGCGAGCGCATGGTGTTGCTTACCGAGGAACATGCCGAGGAACTGGAGGAAGCTGCCGACCTTGTCGCCGAGCGCCTCTTGGATCTGCGGAACGTCGCTGGAGATGCGGGAGGAGAGGGCGCCGGTCTTGTGCTGGTCGTACCAGGCCATCTCCTGCCGTACCAGGGCCTTGAAGTACAGCTTGCGGATGCGCAGGCTCTGGCGCTGCGCAGAGAGAGTGAAGCAGGCGACTTGGAAGTATGACGTGACGGCAGCGCCGCACGCAAGGTACAGGATGTACAGGCTGGTTTGCGCCACGCTGTCAATCAGATCTGCCGGGTCGGCATCAGCGCCAAAGCTGTCAATCACCTGGAAAGTGTGCGCGTGCGTGTGTGTGTGCGTGTGTGTGTGTGTGTGCGCGTGTGTGTAGGGGATGGATGGTGAGTGCGAGAGAGGGTACGTGGGTGGTGGTGGTTGGTTAGCACCAAAAAGGAGCACACGAGCCAGCTTGGAATGAGCAAACAAGCCCTTGCACGCATGTATGCATGTATGCATGGGTGAATAACACGGCCCACACAACGTACATCGCCGAAGAAGACGACAAACGCGGGGGACAGGGCACCGTGAGCGAGGGCACACAGGGATCCAACGATAACCAGGACCCAGTCCTGCATTGGGCGTGAGCCATGCACAGCAGTGTGTGAGCAAAGCGTATACGTGAAACACAGCGAGCAGGCGAAAGTAAGAGGGAGCAAAGGCAGTGCAAGAGAGTGAGCGCAGACACACCCATCCACCCCTACACACCCACCCACCTACACATATGCACGCAAGCAGCATGCAACGTCATCATCAATAAACGCATGCATGCACGGGTGTGGTACGCACAAAGGCGTCGGCGTAGCGGTAGAGGGCAAAGTAGGAGACTGGTTCGAGTTTCTCTTCTTCCTCCTCCGTCTTGGCGTTCTTGTCAACCGCAGCGTTCTTATCCTCTTTGGCCTTCTTGCCATCACGGCTCTTGCCTGCGTGGATTGCGTCGATTGAGGGAGCAAGTCGGTGACAGCGAATGAACGTGTGGAATGAACGTGTGGAATGAACGTGTGGGTGGATGAGTGGGTGGATGAGTGGGCAACAAGCAGCCCCATATCACACAAACACACACACACACACACACACACACACACACACACACACACTGGACGTACGTCGGGCCATGGTTGCGGGTCGCAGTCAAGTGTTACGCAGCAGGCGCGGTATATCTGATCTGACACGGCAACACGTATCGCTGCTTGTTGTTGGTGTGATATGATATGGTATGGGTTGTGTGATTGGAGGGGGGTGGCACGTGGAAATGAGAACGGCAGTGTCAAACGATTTGTGGCGACAGTGCGCTTGGAAGAAATGAACACATCAGCCACAACCAGTGGCTTCGTCATCAGATAATCAGGTGCACACGCTCAAAGCAACAGACAGAAATAGACATGTCCATGCAAACGAACACGCACGGAGCGTGCACGCCTTGTTGCAAAAGGCCGCAACGGTGTTCACCACCGCCACCGCCGCCCATCACACTTCACAAGCAACCCGCGACTTCCTGTTGTTGCTCCAGCACAACGCCTCACCTCTTTCGCTGCTGTTGCTTGCTGCTCTTTCAGCTCTTACAGCGCGAAAATGAGCGTGCGTGTGCGCGTGGTTGGACTGCTGCTGTTTTGGTTTTTTCTCTTTTTTTTTCTTTCTTTTTGTGTGGGGGTGGCGTCATTTGGCGTCATCAGGTGTAATTTAACATTGAGAACTGCCTTGAAGGTCTTCGTAGTACCGTGGAAGTGGGCGCCTGGGCACAAAAAAACACACATGCACAACACACACAGAAGCATTCACATCACTCGTTGCCTGCGTGTTGGCGCACAAAGGAAGAAAACCAGTCGGTGGAGGTGGTTGTGCCGCGCTGGGGTTTTGGTTTCGGTGGATTGGCAGGTGTTGCGGTGGGAATGGCCATCGGCACATCGCTCGCGGGCGACTCGTGGCCCTCCGACCGCGGCCGCGGCTTTGTCTTCTTCCGCGTCATCGACTTGTTCTTGCCCCCACCCCGCGACCGCTGCTTGCCCTCTCGCATACCAGACCTCTGCTGGTGCTCCTGGTGCCCCTGCTGACCCTGATGGTGACGGTGGTGGTGGTGATCGGCTCCGCCAGCTTCCTCGTCGTCAGCGCCAGAGTTGACAAACACAATGTGGCGGATGTCCGCCTCAGACCGGGGCCGCGGCTTTGCTGACGATGACGAGGACGACGAGGACGACGACGATTTCTTCTTCTTGTCCTTGGATTTCTTTCTGGAGGAACGCCGCAGCGACAGGCGGCGCTGCTTCGGCTTTGCTGTCTCTGTCTCTGTCTCTGTCTCTGGCGCCGTCGCAGTCGCCGTCACTGTTGCAGTCGCAGTTGTTGTCAATGATGTCCCAATCTCACCATCCTCTTGTTGTTGCTGCTGCTTCTGCTGCTGCTGCACCTTGGGTGGGTTGTTGTTGCCGTCTTTGGCAAACGCGGCGATAAACGCATCAATGGAGCCGACCTGGCGGCCGCTTTGCGCCGTCGATGGCGGCATGGCTTGGTGCGACGCCAGTACCGATGCCCGTGAAGACGCAGAGGACAGCGCCTTGCTGTTTCCCCCTTGCAGTGATGATGCGGATGATGACGCGCGCGCAGATGTGGTGGCCGTAGCCGGTGCTGTCCCCTGCCCACCACCACGCCCATTCATCGGCCCCTCTTCACCAGGCACCCACGTATCCTCCTCAGACGCTAGCGAAGCGCGTGTGCAGCCGCCCTGGCTGGATACAGAGGTCCTGCTGCTGCGGCCACGCCCGCGCCGACCCCGGCCTTCCGCCTGCTGCTGGTGTTGCAGTTGTTGCTGTCCACTACCATTTGCTTGGCGCGCCCCTTCCCGCTCGCCACCAATGCCCCCACCACCAACCCCACCAAAGTCATCTTCAGCGTCTTCATCTTCCTCCTCCTCCTCCTCCTCATCATCATCATCATCATCCTCATCGCTGTGGGGTTGCGTGTGCTGGCGCTTGAGGTTGTTGAACACCTGCCTCACCCGCGCCGGCACCTCTTCGTCGTTGGTCGCGTGCGCGCTGAAGATGGAGTAGAACCCTTCCTCCATCTCATCATCGTGCAGCACAAGCGGGCCGGGCCGCTCATCGTTTGCCCACACGGACCCACGCACATCACCAGAGCGATCGAGGTGGTCATAGTCTGAATCCCGGCCAGCATGACCGCGCCCGCCGCCCTCGCCGCTGCCAACCGCCACCTCCCGCACCTCTCCAAACAAGCTGGCGTACTGGCTGCTGCTGCTGTGGCGCCGCTCCCGGCCGCCCACGTCATCTGGAGACGCCAACACCATGTCACCGTCATCACCATCACCACCACCAAAATGAGCGCGACTCCGATCACCATCCCGCGCGACAGACTGGCCAGATGTCGACAGGGTTGTGGACGAGTGTTGTCGCCACGGCCGGACCGGCTCTGCGTAGGTGTGCACCGCTGAGGCCGGCAGCGCTTGCGGGAAGTCCTCCGCACGCGCGTATGTGGCATCCGTGGCGTCTGACCGCCCGCTCTTCACCGTGCCAGACCGTGTCATGCTCGAGTAAATGCCAACGTCATTCGCGCGCGCATACGGCGGGTCCTCCACGTCGCGCGCATCATCAGGGACGCAGTAGTCCGAGTCCACCGATGACGCATCAGCATCACCTTCGCTGTCACTGTGGTTGACGCGTGGCTGGCGCCGCCGCGTGTGGCGTTGGTGGTGTTGGTGGTGTTGGGCAGGGTGTGCGTTGCTGGGGTTGAGATGAGGGTGCACGCTGCTGTGTTCTCGATCGTCCACAACCACATCGCCATGGTCGTCTCGCTGCAAGGAAACGCCGCCAAACTGTCAACCGTGCGTGCGTGCGTGTGTGTGTGTGTGTGTGTGTGTGTGTGTGTGTGTGTTCGGGTGAGTCACAGGGGCACAGCAATGGCAGGCAAATGCCGTAAAAGGAAATGGAATGCAGAGTTTTGCTGTTGTTGAGCGAACGTCGCAACACGCCCAGCAGCACACCAACAGCAGCATCTCATCCCTGTTGGGTGCAAATCACCATCACAATGCCCATCATTTCCACCAAAAAACAATTACAACCACCATCACCGCCACGGTGCTCACCTGAGTTGGGCTGGGGCCAAAGGCTTGGTGTGGCGACATGGCGTGCGCGCCGTTTCCACTGGCACCACCAACGGCCACTTTGCGCCCCGCAGACGGCTGCAGGCGCTGCGTCATGCGACGTGCCCGTCGCGTGCTTGCGCCGGCTGTGGCGTAGATGGACTCCTTTGGCTGCACCACCGCTGCTGCTGCCGTCAGGTAGTCTGGCGACGGATCAACACTGCAGATGGACGACCCGCTCTCGTCGCCCGCTGCACATTGTTGTGTGTGTGTGTGTGTGTGTGTGTGTGTGAACGAGGGAGAATGTAGAAAAGGTTGGGAAGCACACGGATACGTAGGCTTGTGCACTGGGTCCATTCGCAAGCCTTAAGACATGAACACACACACACACACACACACACACACACACACACACACACACACACACACACCAATGCGGCGCGGAGGAAGGCGTGGGGACGGGGACGCGGTGCTTGCGGAAGAGGGCTGGTATGCTTGCATGTACAGCTTTGGGCGCGTGCCGGGCTTTCGCCGCTGCGTTGCCCGCAGTTCTGCCGGCCGCCGCCGCTGCTGCTGTGGCGAAGGCGTTGTTCTCGACTCAAGCGCAGCCTGCATCCCATCAGCATCCGTGTACATGGGCAGATTCAACGCTACGTGGCCCGTGTTCACGGCGTGGACGTGGCCTCCATCGCCGCCGTACGCGCCGCTGAAATCGCGTGTGGGCAGCACCACTGCCGACCGCGGGGCCGCTGGTGAGCGGGACCGGTGACGCGTGAACCGCGACCACCACGACCCGCCACCAGTGCTGCCACCACTGGTCTGGCTGTTGCTTGCACCAGCAGCAGCCCCACTCGTCTGGCCCGTTGCAGCCGTCATGGTCGTTGTTGCCGTGTGTGCGCTGCCGCCGCTCTGCTGCGGGCTGGCCAGCTTGGCCGAGGCAGGCTCTGCGCCACGCCGGGCAGTGGCTGGCGATGCGTTGTGACCAGGCAGCATCCACGCTTGCAGCGGTGTCTCCGCCAGCCCAGAGTCGGAATCGCCATCAGCGTATACGGGCGCAACGCCTGGTGTGTGCATGTGTACATGTATGAACGCGTTTGAACCAGTGTAAGGGGTGTGGTTGTAGCATTGTAACAGGGAGGGGGTCGAAGGGAGGGGGTCGTAACGAAACGAAAACAACCAAGAAGGGGGCGGGCGAACGTGTACGAGGATGCATACACAGATACACAGATACGTAGTACACACAGACACAGACGGGCAGACAGCCCCCTCTCCTCAATGCGTCGAAGCAACAGCACCTGCTGTGTGCGGCAGCTTGACCACGGCGCCGTTGCGGCTGAGTGTGGACATCTCCATCTCGTTGATTGGGTAGAGGTCGGATTGCTTCGTGCGGTTACATGAGCGGCCAACCCAGTAGCAGTTGGTTGCAATAAATAGGCCGCCCAGGCAAAGCACCACAATCAACCATGCCTGTGACAAGCCAGCCCCACCAGAATCGCCTGAAATACACGTTTACATCACGCAGCGGCGAAGGTCAAAAATGAAGAGTGGGCCAGGTCATGCCCACCCATCATCTCAGCACAACACACAAACAGCCAGCCAGCCAGCCACACACACACACACACACACACACACACACACACACACACACACACACACACACACACACACGCGCGCGCGCGCGCATGCTCTCACCGTCGTTGCTGGCATTTGCCTCCTCTGGCGATGCAAAGCATGTGGTGTCAACGAGGGCCTCACAGGGGCGCTTCACGCCAAAGGGACAGGTGGACTGGCGACAAGCGCGCAGGGTCACCGCACCACAGTGAGAACAACGGCAGCGTACGTGCGCTCGTGCGTGTATGTGTGTATGTGTGCGCGAGTATTTTGCGGCATGGAAATGAGCACACAATTCCAGTGTGTGGAGCAAGCGCAACATGCAATGAATGGACGTACCTCTGGTGTGCATGGGAGGCACTGGAAGTTTGATTTTCCATCGCAAACCGAGGCGGCATAGCTGCCGTTCTCGCACGGGGCATCGCACGCGCGACATGCCACGCCATCGGGGCTAAACCTGCACATTGCAATTGGTGGTGGTGTTGTGATGTGAGCTGTGTCGTTGCGCGGCCGTGCGGCTTGGCAGCACTGGTTCACAGGGGCAGCAGGACAAGGCGCAGGGACACACAGGCGCACGAAGAGGTGCAAACAACAAACAAACACATGCAAACAAGCCAACAAGCAAACAAGCAAGCAAATACACAAGCAATGACAACTGCAAACAAACTGACGTGTCTGGCGGGCAAGGTGCGCAGCGCAAGTCTTGTGTTGCTGTGCATGTGTAGAGGGGAAACGAGCCAGAGGGACAGCCCGTGGCGCTGCAAGGAACACACGGCGTCGCTGGGTCAAAGTCGTGGTCTGTGTATCCTTCTTCACACGCATACTGCTCACAGTCTGGCACCGACCCTTCAGGCACATAGACGCCAGGGCTGCATTGCGCGCACTGGGCTCCGTCACCAACCGTGCCGGCAGGACAGGGGCGACACGCCGTGCGACTCGGCTCAAACTGGTCGAGGTAGCGGCCAGGTTGGCACGTGATGCAGCCTGGTGGTTGCAACAGGGCACGAACATGGCGCAGAACGAGGATGAGAACAAACCAAATCAGGTCAATGACAGGATGACGAGAAGGCAATGCCAGAAACCATAAATGTGCGCGCACATACACACAAATAAACACATACACATACACACGCACACACAAACACACATACATACACACACATACACAAACACAAACAACACACACACACACACAAAACAACACACACACAAACAACACACACACACATACACATACATACACACACACAAACAACACACACACACACACATACACACACACACACAACACAACTTTAGGACCACTACGAAGAACTAAAGACGCTCCTCTCGCGGGGTTATTGTATGAATTAACCTGGGAGAGTGACATAAGTGCTGAAGTTGTATGGGCGACATTCAAAAATTTATCATTTGCGGACAGGTGTTCGACGCCTACGAATCTGACTTTTATGGGACGGTGTGTCCTGTAGGCCACGTACGAAAGTCTCTTTGCTTGGCCGTTTATCGGCTAGACATGAACTTTAGTGCATTAGTACATTCGTTGAACGACTTCTTTGCAGAAGGTTTTGGAACATGAAAAGATTTGGCTTTTTGCGCACTGCTTCGCCTGCCGAACGGGCCCAATCGACTTTCTTGCACACACAACAACACACACACACATACACATACATACACACACACAACAACACACACACACACACATACACACACACACACAAACACAAACAACACATCAACCCACCCCTCACACAACATCGACCACAACAGCCAACACTGACCGCAGCAGTTGTCCTCTGCAGATCGCTTGCGGGCGGCGACGTCAACGGTGGTTGATGGCCCTTCACAGTCCCGCCCGCCACACGCAGGGCTCGGGTTCACACAGCTGCGCACGAGCGTGCGCGTGCGGTTTGCACGCTGCTCAACGCCGCACCCTTTCGGCAGCCATGGCGTCCATGGTGTCCACGACCCTTCCTGTGAAACCCAGAGCGACCAGCCGCCATCAACGCGGCACGCGCTGTCGCATGTCGCCTCTCCATACACGGTCTCATTGCGGACGTTTGTGACAGTCTGTGGACCAACGCAGCGGCACGACGGCCACGGTGACGTGCACGTGCGAACCCCAACGCGCTTGGAAACGCGCACGCGTTGCTGCCCACAGCCGATGGTGTCGACAAACTGCCAGTCGCTCCACTCGCCAAACACAAACGACGACCAGCCATCCTGCAGGGCAGACACGGGGACGGTCTGCATGTCATCTTCGACCACACGCGCATCGCCAACACACACGCGCGACGCGCACGGTGTGCCGGCAGCGTCGCATGCGCGAGTCACGTTGCGAGAGCGGGTGCGCTGCACTTCGTGCGTGCTGTTGCACGGCAGTCCCAGCGCGTCAATGTCTGGATAACCCCACGCGGACCATTCCGACATGTGTACAACCGCCCAGCCTTGGAACCCGTCGCAACAGTCCTGTGATCGAAACACGGCTTGGTTGCTTGCAGTGCTGTTGCTATTGCTGGTCGTGCCGTTGGGGGCGGTGACGGTGGTGGTAGTGGTAGTGCCTGCGTCTGGTACTGTTGGTGCCGTTGGTTGTGACGATGGTGCTGTTGGGCCAAGCGACCAATCACGCACAGTGCGCTGTGTGGAGACGCCAGCACACGCGTCTTGGTTGCACGAGTTTGGCGGGATGGCGCAGGTGCGCGCATCCTGGCGCCGCCGCACCCAAACGTTTGAAACGAGCGGGCAGTTGTCACCCGGGTTGGGTGTTGTCCACGCGCTCCAGTTGCCCAGCAGCCATTCGCTCACGTCTGCACTGAGGTTTCGCAGCGTCATGCTTCGCTGTTCCGTCACTGCCTCTGCCAGGTCCTCTGTGCACGGCTGTCCACCGCACACGGGCGCCACGCACTCGCGCATGCGGCGGCGGGTCCGTGCTTGCCCCTAACGCGAGGACGCATTGAAACGCAAACGGGAAGAGGGAGCGTGAGTTGGGGCGAGCGCTAGCGTGTGTTGAATGCAACAATATTCGCAAGACAAAGCAACGAAAGCCAAAGAAGCAATCTCACATGACACACGCAACAAGTAAAACAAACGAACCAGACAAAGCACACAGTCACACACATACACAAGACGGCGAGATAAACATACACACAGACACACAGACACACACAGACACAGACACACACAGACACACACAGACACACACACGCACAGACACAGACACACACACACACACACACACACCTGTGGAGTGTCGCAGAGAAGGAGATCGAGTGGGGGTTCCCAGGCAGACCAGGACCCCTCTTGCCATGGGGTGTATGTGGCATTGCGCACACAGCCAGGAACGCACGACTCTGCTGCTGTCCTGTTCTCCACCTGCACCGCAATGCGAGTGGTGGCGCCAACGCAATCACGGCCGCCGCAAGCCGGCGCGGGGTTTGTGCATGTGCGCACCTCCACACGCGTCCTGTTTCGCTGTTGCGCAACATCGCATCCTGGTGGGTCGAACGCCGACCACGCCGACCACTCGCTGCCATCTGGTGCGAACCACGCCCCAAAGGCACCGTCAACGGGCTGCCAAGTCACGTTGCGCACTTGGATGTCGACGAGCGTGGCGTCGCCCTCGCAGGGACGGCCGTTACACTGCGGCGCCGGGTTGGTGCATGTGCGGTTGAGCATGCGCGTGCGGTTCTGTGTCTGCGGGCCAGCGCAGTCTGCAGGCCAGGGTTGCGACCACTCTGTCCACTCGGAGACGGGCATGGGGTCAGACCACCCGCCGTCCATGTATTCATCAGCAACGCGCCGCTCTACATCCTCCACGATGCGCACGCGCTCGCCCTGGAACAAAGTGGTGGTGGTGGCGGCGGGTATGAATTGTGGTGTGTTCACGTGTGTGAGGTGTGGTGGTAGTCAAGTTGAAGGTTGAGAAGACGAAGGATCATGATGCACACAGACAGACATAAACATGCACGTTTGCAACACACACACACACACAGACACAGACACACGGACATAGACACACGCACACATGCACACGCACACATGTACACGCGCACACACGCACATACAGACATAGACACGCACTTACTCCCATTCTCACACACATGCAGCGTACCGAACACGAGACGCCGCCACAGCTTGGCGGCGGGTTGTTGCATTCGCGGGTTTGCTGCTTCTGCCGAAAGCGGCTCTGCTCAATGCCGCACCCCTCTGGCGCAAACTCACTCCACTCCGTCCAAGACCCATCCTGCCATTCCCCAAACTGGCCATCAACGGGGCAGCAGTTTTCCTCGGCAGTGCGCGTGCCAACTCTCGTGTCCACCACGCGCGTCTCGCCAACACAATCACGGCCGCCACACGACGGCGCCGGCGCCGTGCAGTTGCGCGTGTGTATGCGACGACGCGTGCGGTTCTGTGCAACACCGCACACGTCTGGTGTGTAGGCGGACCACTGCGACCATTCGCTCGTCTGCCAGGCGGTGAAGTTGCCGTCAACGGGGCAGCAGTTCTCCTCGGCAGTGCGGTACTCAATATCAACGTAGTCGCGCGTATCTGGTCCCGTGCATGCGAGTCCGCCACACGCTGGCGATGGGTTGGTGCACGTGCGTGTCTGCACCTGTGTTCTCGCGCGCGTCTGGTTGACCCCGCAACCTGCAGGGCTGTAGTCTGTCCACGCAGACCAGGGGCCACCACGCCACGTCGTGTAGCTGCAAAGATGGGGGAAGGGGGAGGTTGAGGGGAGACAGAAAGGATGGGTACACAAGCGCGCATGAATCACAGCAACAGCGGCAGGCAGGGAATGTAAACAGACCGCCACCGAGAACACGCACTAAAAGTTCACACAACGATACACAATCACACACACACACACGCACGCACACACACACACGCACGCACACACACACACACACACACACACACACACACACACACACACACACACACACACACACACACACACACACGAGACTCACTTTCCGTTGACAGAGCAGCAGTTCTCTTCTGCGGTGCGCACTTGACTCTGTGTGTCTGTGGCCGTGGGCGAGCCAACACACGCGCTTCCCCCACACACGGGCGCAGGGTCCGTACACGTGCGCACGCGCGTGCGAAGCCGTTCCCGCCTCTGTTCAACACCGCATTCGCTGGGCGTGTAGTCAGACCAGTTGCTCCACTCCTCCGGCGCCCACTGCGACCACTCCCCGTCTACTGCACAACAGTTGGCGCTGGCGTTGCGCGTCTGCGTCTCCGTGTCGATGTGTGTGCTGTTTCCAGGACAGGGCAGTCCGCCGCAAGCCGGTGCCGGCTGCGTGCATGTACGCGTGCGGCGGCGAATGCGCGTGCGCGTCTGTTCAACACCACACGTGTCCGGGGAGAAGGCCGACCAGGGGGACCACTCTCCAGCGAGCCAGGCAGTCCAGCCACCGTCAACAGGGCAGCAGTTGTCGGCGGCCGTGCGCGTGTCTTGCTCCGTTGTCACGCGGGTGGCGTTGCCCGCACAGGGAGCTCCCCCGCACAGCGGCGCAGGGCTCGTGCACGTGCGCGTTGCCACCACCTGCCGCGTTCGCTGCTGCTCAACGCCGCACTGCGCCGGCGACCACTCCGTCCATTCACCAGACAGCGACGGCGCGACGGTCCAGTTTGACCACCCGCCGTGCACGGGGCCACAGCAGTTGTCGCTCGCGGGCCGCGCATCCGTCTGCGCCACCTCCTCGCTTGCACCGCCATCGTTGCACGTCGACGCCGGCGGTGCGCAGTTGGGAACAACACACGTGCGCGTGCGCGTGCCCGTGCGCGTGCGTGTCTGGTTGACGTTGCACTCCTGCGGCTCCCACTGCGTCCAGTTGGACCAAGCGATGGGGGACCACGGCGACCAGTGCGCCTCCTCACGAAGCGGGGCGGCAGCATGCAGGGTGATGTTGTCAATGACAAAGGTCGCGTCGCTCGTGTCTCCCAGCACCACCTCCACACCCAGCTGCACGTAGTTGGCGTTGATGTCCGAGAAGAAGAGAACGTGGTCCTCCCACACGCCGCCAGCCGTGCCATTTCCCTCCTGCTGTTGCTGTTGTTGCTTCACGGTTGCCGCTGTGATGCGAGCCACTTCAATGGACTGATGCGGCAGGAAGATGCCTGGGTCCACCCCACTACCGCTGCCACCGTCTGTAGGCGGCGGCATTGTGCTGGTACGCATGGTGGTGGTGGCGGCGGCGGTCGTGTTCATGGACACCGTCGACGCCTGTGGTATCGCTGTTGTTGTTGTCGTCGTCGCTGCTGCGGTGGTGGTTGTGGGCGTGATCAGAGTGGTGCCAGCTGTTGTTGTTGTTGTTGTTGTTGTTCCGCCACCGCCACTGTCATCGTGGCGCGTGAGGTAGTAGACCACGAGCGAATCTGCTTGCTGTAGCGTGCCGTGCACCTCCAAGTGGATGCCTGCTGTCAGGTTCACTGCACACTCCGTGTAAAAGAGACCCGTGGACCAGCGGGCAGATGTCCCCAGCGCATGAGCCTCCAGCACGTGGTCAACAGCACCTGCTGCGACAGGCACCACCTGGCGCCGGCGATGTTGGTGGTATTGGTGGTGGTGTTAAACAAGGGGGGGGGGGGTCAACGTGTGAGAAGTGAGCTGTACATTGAGGCTGAGGCGCGAGTCACACAACAGAGACAAACAAGCACAGGAACACACAGACACACAACACACACACACACGACACGACACACACACAGACACACAACACACACACACACAGACACACAACACACAGACACAAACACAACACCTTAAAGTAGCCTCGTGGTGCTGGGGGTTGTGCAGCGGTGATGTTCCAGGATAGCGACCCTGCGGGCGGCGTGGTGTCGTTGCCGATACCCGTGGCGATGGGCACGTCATTGAAGTCCTCGCCCCACACCAAGATGCGCGCGGATGAAGGAATGTCCACCGCCCCAGGGGCAGTCGTGGCAGGGCATGGCGCAAGACAAGCCAGCACAATCACAGCCGTGGCCAGCAGCACTTGTGGCCGTACACGTCGGCTTGTGGCAGCCGCAGCCATCTTCACACTGCCCTGCCTGCGCCGCCTGCCCCGCATGTGTATGCACGTGCACTGGCCACCACCACCACCACCACAACTGCTGCTGCTGCTGTTGAGGTGTGTGGCTGCGGTTGTCAGCACTTGTGATGGCTGTGTGTGAGCCGTCAGCGTTACTCTCCGCTCTCGATGAGCAGTGCCATGGGCCTTCTTGCAAGCTGCGGTGGGCGGTGTGTTGATGGCTGCGTTGGCGATGGTGGTTACTTGCACCTTCTGCATAGAACAAGCAGCAACGCGAGTGTACGCGCGCGTGTGTGCAGGGCGTGTGTGGAGCGTTACAGGCTTGCCGCCGGGTTGGTCGAAGGTGACAAGGGATTGTCAGTGGCAAGCAAACCGAAGACCAACACCGAGCAGGGAGTGGTGGTGGGCTGGTGGATGGGTGCATGCAAAAGACAACGCGCCACTGCAGACTTGCCAAAGCCAACAGCATGGGCTGGTGCAAGCAAGCAAGCAAGGCAAGCAAGGCAAGCACGGATGTCTGGCAGCAAGGCACCAAGGAAGGAAGCATGTGTGCATGCATGCGCACATACAACACACAACCGTACACACGCACGCATGCACACAACGGTGCGCGCGCAAGCGTTCCCCGCTCACCTCCGTGCTGTTTGTTGTTTGCTGGGCGTGGCTGGTTTGGTTGCTGCAAAGGCGTGGTGGTGGGCGTGTGCATGTGCGTGTGTGTGTGTGTGTTGCTGTGAGCGACGTGCGGTCTGTGAGGGAGTGCGCGCCTGCCTCGCGCACATGGGCAGTGGCCGCCCACAACAGCAGCTAGCAACAACACACGTGTGTAGCAATGCGTTCATCATCGTCATTGTCATGGCGTGCCTTGCTTCTTGCTTGTGTGTTTGCTTGCTTGCTTCTTTGCCGAGGCAAACTCAACATCCCCAACAAGGTGGAAGCAATCAACAACACACCTTTGGCTACGTATGCTTCGCAGCAAGAGAAACGGGCGTGGGATGCGTTGGTTCGTGCACACGCTTGCACACGCTCGAGTGAAGGAAACAATGGATCGATCAGAGGGGAAGGAGGGTGCGATGGTGGTCGACGATCCGGGCTGGTCGGGTGCGTGTGCGTGTGTGTGTTTTGTTTGCGACGTTCCTCCTTCTTCTTCTGTTTCGCGTCCTCCCTTTATCTTCTCGTTGTTCGTTTCGTTGTTTTCGTTGGGCGTCACGTCGTTGCCGAATATTCTATGTTATATCTTTCACAAACAATCTTGCCTAGCACGAAAGGCACAAAAACTTGCGAGCGAGAGCGAAGCAGCAACCGACAACGAGTGAGCGAGAAGCAAGTCAAGCCAAGCAAGGTGAGAGGAGGAAGGGGCTTTGGTTGGTTGGTTGGTGTGTGAAGAGTGAGCTGTGCGTGGGTCGTGGGTCGTGGGTCATGGTGATGTGAGCTGCTGTGTAGTTAAAGACAAAAAGTGCGTGCGTGTCATTTTGTTAGTGGAGGGAAAGAAGATCGTTCAGCTTCTGTGGGTTGATGTGGATTCGTGAGAAACAGCACACCACTGCTTCGTATTCCAGCCGTCAGACTCGCTCGCTTGCTTGTAGCTGGCTCGTACTTGCACATCTGAAGTCGTTTCTTGTGTGTGTATGGGTGTGTCTGTCTGTTTGTGTGTGTGTGCGTCATTTCCTTTTCCGCTGAGCATCCCCACCTGGCGTGTAGGTCGCACACACACACACACACACACGTAGACACACACACACATAGACACACACACATAGACACACACACATACACACAAGTCACACTCATTGGCTGATTCCTTGTGTCTCTCCTGCTCACCCTCTGTCAATTACTGCTGGTGACTTGCTTGCTTCACACCCCACCCTCCTGCGTGCTGCATGTGTGCACGCTCAATCAACACCAGGGAAATTCAGAGAGACCCAGCCCAGCCGTCAAGGCACAGCATCTTCTTGGCCGTGTCGCGTGCATCACGGGTGTGACACCAGCCTCACCTGTCCCTTGTCCTTCTGCTTGGGTGATTGTTTGTGTCGGTACCCGCGTTGATTGGCTGGTGCTCCGCAACTACAACCACCACGAGCTAGCAGCGCGAGCAGCAGCTACAGCTACAGCAGTAGTAAGAAGCAGCAGCAATAAGAAGCAGGGGCAACCAACACCCTCCATCACCAAACCGTTGACGACATCATTGGTCTGCGTGGCTGGGCGTGATGTTTCGCCGTAAGAACAAGAAGAAGAGCAGCGGCACCAAATCCCCGCTGGGCCCTGCACCAACATCATCAAGCCCCTCCACCATGTCGCTTCCCTCCCAGAGACGCGCTCAGAAGAAGACCAGCAAGAGCGCCATTGAGCTCTACGTGTACCATCTCGACAATGAGGAGTACAAGTTTGAGCTCTCCAAGCACGCGACCGGCACAGACCTCCTCAAGCTCTTCCTCAAGCGGTCCGTGTATGTGTGTGTGTGTGTTTTGTTTGCGCATGGGGGTGTATGATGGGTATATGTGTGCTGGAGTGTGCGTGTGTGTATGTGTGCATGAGTGTGCGTGTGTGTGTATGGGTGTGTGTGTATGTGTGCATGAGTGTGTGTATGTGTGCATGAGTGTGCGTGTGTGTGTATGTGTGTGTGTATGTGTGCATGAGTGTGCGCAGCCTGTCGCTTTCTTTCCCTCCTTCGATCTGTGGTGTATGTTTGCTGCGTGGTATACCACTGCATGCGCTGTTTGACTGGCTTGTGTAGTACGTGCTCGACAAGTCCTCATTTGCTGCTGCTTCTGCTGTTGGTGCTACCTGCTGTTGGTGCAACTTACACTGCTGTGGTAACAGAATTGGGGCCTTGGATGAGGTGGACTATTTTGGATTCTACTTTCCATACACGGATCCCATCGTCTGGCTGACAGAGGAGCAGATCAAGAAGCAAGCAGGTTGGTCGCTGCTCGACGGTGGCGGGACGGTGGAGAAGGAAGGGGAGAGAGGGAGAGGGTGTGTGTGTGCGTGTGAATGCATAGCTCTTTGCTTGTGAGATGCAGTCTTATTCACCGACGACTTACCTCGACACACACACACACACACACACGTAAACACACACGTATACACACACGTATACACACATGAATACACGCACACACATGTATACACACATGAATACACACAGACATCAAGAAGCCGGTTGTGTTGGAGTTTGGCGTTAAATTCTTCCCCTCCAATCCGCGCAAAGTTGTCAGCGAGCACACGCGCTTCCTCATCTTCCTCCAGCTCAAAGAGGTGCACGCATACACGAGCCAGACATATGGGAAGATGGATGGATGGATGGATGGAAACGGACCGTGTGTGAATGCGCTTGTATGTCTAGTATTGGCGTTGCTAGTGCTTGAAAAGTGTGTGCGTGTGTGCGTGAGGGGTGTGTACACCATTTCACGTGTGCACCCCATTCCACTTATTGGTCCCTCCCACTCACTCCCACTCACTCCCGTTTCAACTGCCGCGCGCACGTGTGTCGACAGGACCTGGCGATTGGGCGCTTTGTGTGCCCAGCACCAGACGCCATCCGCCTCTGCGCCCTCGCTGTTCAGATTGAGCTCGGTGCGTTTGCGTGTAGAGGGGTGTTGCTTCGTCTGGTTGTATTTGTGGTGGGGATTCGTGGGTATTATGTCAATCATGGCGCTGTGCTTGCTTGTTGTGTGTCCTACCATCACCTCACACGCACCCTCACGTTCACACACCCTCGATCTCTCTCTCTCTCTCATCTCTCTTTATCGCACACACACACATGCACACACAGGCGACTATGATGCGGAGAAGCACCCTGCCGGGTACCTGTCGGACATGCTGCTGCTGCCGGATCAGACGGTCGATGTTGAGGCAGAGATTGCCCGCTGGCACCGCGCCCTCGAGTGAGCACTTGCTTCGACTTCCTTGCATGAACGCGTTACTCTCGCTGCTTTCTTGTGTGTTGCGTGTGTTGCGTGCTGCTTGTGTGCGTGCGGTGTGCTCTCGTGTGGGTTGTGGCTTCTCTTGTTTGTCTGTGGAACCTGTGGGTCGTGCACAGCACATCTTGTTGCAATACCACAGCAAATCACCGACTCACCTCACCCACTTCCCCCGCATTGCCCACGTCGCCCATTCCTCCCACAGCCGCATGACGTTCTCCGAGGCGGTGCAGGCGTACCTGAGCCTTGCGTCGCGGCAGCACTTGTACGGCGTTGATCTGCACCCGGCCAACCTCTCCCCAGACGACCCGTGCTTTGTTGGCATTTCCGCACAGGGCATTCGCCTCTACAACGCACACCTCGGCGTACGTTATGCTTGTTTGCTGCTGTTGCTGCTGTTGCTGTTGTTGCCGTTGTTGCTGTTGTTGCTGTGGTGATGGGAAGCAAGAGGGATGTTCCTGCTGCACTTTGGAGAGCATGCAGTCGCAAAGCAGCACCATTCCTCACCACACACGCACACAAACATGAGCACACCTTCTCAAACACACACACACACACACACACACACACACACACACACAACAACATGTATCGCCACCGCCTACC